CGGGGGCGGGGGCGGGCCGGGGCTGGGGCCGGGGCCAGGGAACTTATCACCGTCCCCGGCCCGAAAATCAACGGGGATTTAATTTTTAATACCATCCCCAGTCCTATGGGGATTATTTTCGGGAAAAACCCGTTCTAATTGGGGTCAGGGGGGTCGAGTCCCCGTCGAGCCGGGTTCAAATTGCCATCCCTATAATAACCTTGCCATATATCTTGCCAAAGATGCCTATATAAGGGCATGCTCAACATTGTGAAAATGATCACAAAATAAGCTAAGTTCTCTCCTCCTCCTTTCCCAATTGTGTATAAAAGGAAACCATCCTCTTTAGTTGAAGTACAAAAATTTTTGCTCTCATATTATAGTCAGTCTGCTCCTATAATATATTACTCCTGTGTGTGAGAGAGTGCTACCATTGTCAGTTCGCCAGAGCTAAGCAGAAGGTGTTTCTGCGTTAGCGGGTTCTAAACCGTCGTATCCTGGGAGACAGACGCCGACGTACCTCCAACACCCACGGTGAGGTGGCAAATATGTTTTAAGGAGACTGTGGTATCACACAGGCTTCCATTTGTTTTCTTTACTATCTTATTTAAGTATTTGATTTTGTTAAATATTTTTGATCATCAAGTTGTAGTCTCTAGCATGATTTAGATTCATGATTTTTTGTTATGTAATATAAATTTAATTAATTATGAATCTGTTCATTTTATTTAATTTACACAATTTGTACAACACTGTTAAGTCGCGCAACCTCCAATTCCTTAAGCACCTTCTACGAAAACTCCCTCAATTCATCCAAAGCCGGCCCCTTCTTCTCTTCTTCTTCCAATTCCTTAAGCGCCTTCTGCAAAAACTCCCTCAATTCATCCAAAGTCGGCCCCTTCTTCTCTTCTCCATCCCTAACTTCTTCCTCCGAACCATTATTCAACTCCAGATTGATTAATTCTTCATTATGGCTTTCAACAAATTCTACATTTCAAGCATTACATCAATGTCAGCTACTGAATCGTTGCCCTGACACCGCAACCTAACTACTCCCCTTGATGTCTTAAAGACATTTACAAAGTTACAAATCAAAGACCTACATGAATTATAACCCCACAGATTGTTATCAAAATCTCTTTTACCAAGTACACTTGAATGGACCCTACTGCTAGTGCTAGACACAGTTATTTTCTTTCACCTTATTTTTCAGGTATGATTCGAGAGAAGTCTTTGATTGCCAAGAAAATTACAACCAATACATCTAAACCTAAACTTCAAATGTGAATCCAAATGATCTGAAGTACTGTAACCTGTAACTTCACTGCTATGAAACAAGTTTGACTGCCGAAAACTACATGCAATGTCCATATCTCTACAATTTTCTAACCGATTCTACAGTAGATTTCACAAACTCTTGTTAGTATCAAATCAAACACCTGCGAAAAAAGCAATTTAAAAGAAAAATGACCTAATTGAATTGAATTGACATCAATTGAATGCAAATTTGCTAGTCGAATCACATAGTCATGGAACTAAGAACATACAAAGGATTTTTACATCCCCTAATTATCCTTCTTCGTTTTTTAATATATCTATACTATTCTTCTCTCCCATTCTGTAACTATTCGTAGATTATTTGTAATGGCCTATATATCCATACTACATATTTCAAGCACACTCATGTGAGTGTGCACACCTACAAATATATATATATATATATGGATTACGATCCTCTCCGTTTCATAGTTGTAATGGACGATGTCCATTACTTAATAAACTGCATCAAACAATAGCTCTATGAGACTTCACCACTAACAAAATGAAAGTGAACTATGTCCTACAACATCATACCATATAATTCTGCTATTTCAATTTCAACACATCTCAATATTCTCAAAATAAAGCATATTTCAACACATCTCAATATTTATTGAAGTTCTTATATTTCCTCCAAAAAATATATATATTTGTCATTTCTATTGTATTGGTCATGTACAGTTTAGTCGTACATAGAGAAAATATGCGACAATTCATGTCATATCCAGTAGTTCTAAAAACCCCGAAAAGTGCCCAGAATTTATAATCAAAGACAGGGATTTACTCATAGTGTGGCCCCGCAATAACAAGGTCAAAATATACACCAGTGATTACAAAATCTGAGTCAGAAATTCTGGTTTGGTTTGCTAGACTTTTTGTTTCACATGCCAAGATTTGAATTAGGAAACAGGGAAATTGAACAGGGAAGGTACTGTCATGTGTTTGAAACTAGTTACCAATCTTTGAACAGGGGAGGTGGGTTGTCATGTGTTTGACGCTAATGAATTCCAAGGTCATATCTCTTATCAAAGTAATACTGGATGTTACCAAGATGTCCAACTAAGCAATTGAGCATGCCAGGAAAATCAGGGGACTAAACATCCATACAAAAGCAGAGTGCCCTGAGGCTTCAATGAATGAATCCATGTTGAACAAAGTCATTCAAAAGCTAACCTGGTTACTCGAATCAACCCCCCACACAAAACACCCGGCCTGCAAGAAACAAAGCAATATATATATATGTGAATATTAACATCCGAGTTAAAACTTATTCGGTCATTTTGTATGAAAATTCTATAAAGTTACCCGACATGTAATCTAAAGTCATTCCAAAAACAGCAATACAATACAAAGTAGAGGAGAGACTGAACTTTGATGATTTTCTTAAGTCTTTTGTAAGGATAAGGTCTTCAGATCCTGATCTGATGGCAAAACTTCTGCATCAGTTACAATCACATCGACTGCAAGGCCACACTAATGTTGTAAATTCCAAGAAAAAGAAAAAAATAACTTCCTAAAATAAGTATATAAAAAAGTGTAATGCTATACAAGCAGAATTTATGTATTTTTTGAAGGAAAAAAAATGTTAATGCACTAGATGGGTTTTCTGTGTAAATGAACCATTGGTCGCCCAAGCATGAATGTGTGGCTCTTAGGGTTGTTGGGGCATGGGCGCTCCACGGGCATAGTAATTTTCGAACGAAACAAGGAAACTTCTCACATTAAGTTTCAAAAAGTTTAAAAGCAAACCAAACAAACTCAATGTGCCCATAGCACAACACCTATCAGTGTTTCTTCTTTTAATCTCTTGAAACCAAAACATCGATCAAATCGCTGCATGTAAATAGATAATTACCTACAAGCGTCGCAAACTCCCTTATGTACCTCAAAATCTGCCTAAACTCTTTTGATGGTATCCCCAAAATGACTTGATATTCATATTCTGATTCATTGATGTCCAAATAATTGTAAGGGTTACCAGGAGTGCGAGGTTCGTCGAACAAAAGAGGCCTCCTTTGATCAGACACTGAAATGCAGTCAAGTTTGAAACATAAGCAATTTCAAGAAGATCAATCATTGAATTTAAATCTAAACATTTTCCAAAAATAAGCCTGTGGGATATTGCTAAAACCTTTAAAACTCAAAGTAAAACAACATCTTCCTGTTCGTCTTTCTGTAATTGAATTTGCAGTCACAAAAAAAAATTAAAATTAATTAAAATAAAGATATTGTGAACTTCTATGGGTTTTCCTAAACTTTTTGAGAAATCAATCCAATTTAACATAGACAGAAATTTTCATATTTTAACAGATTTCCAAGAACCAATTTGAAACCAACCGTGTGAACCATCACATAATTGAACATAAATATGGCTTCACGTGTGTGTGTGTATATATATAATAAACACATCACATTATGGTTATGAAATGAAACAAGAAAATGGACTATAAATCTTATCCAATGGTAAGGGGATTTTCAAGAATGAATTCGAGCAAACATAAGCAACCATGTGTCTATACACATATCTATACATATCTATTCTATTATATAAAGCAAGCATACACCTTATTTCCTATAAATATTGTCACAATTTTTTTTCACTTTTTTTTTTCCTTGAAGAATACCTTCTACATTGAAATAAGTGCTAAACAACTTTTCTTTTTTGATTGGCACCGGGTGTCCTAATCAAAGCCCGACTAATCCCTAGAGATGCACAGCCCTCAGCAAGGAGTTTTCCACAAGTGCATGGTTAATTCAAGGGTTTTCCCCATCCGATAACGCCAAGAAATTGTTAGTACCTAAGAAGTTTCAATCCCTAAATCTTGGAGGGAGCACACCATCAAGACCCAATACCTTGTCACCAGGCCAACCCTTGGGGTTTAAGTGCTAAACAATTTTTCTCATTCATAAAACTATCCAAAATTGTTAAACAGTATTTTTTTCCCCCCGCCAATCTTCAAACCACCAAAAAAAAATTGAAAACACAAAATTACAAACGCATTGCATTTGCACCAACTACATATATATGTATGCACATGAAGTCAGAATTCTTGAAGGAGAAACTGAGTATTATAACTGATATTCAAGAATCGATTCATAAAAAATAAGTAATTCAAGAATCAATTAATAAAAAATACGTAATTGAACATAACACATGAAAATCGAACGCATCACACATGAGTCACATGAATTAGGGTTTTGGGACGAAGAACAGAGCAGAGCGTACCGAACTGAGCGTTGTGATGAGTATTGTTGAAGAAGTTGAAATAGATGAGAGTTGTGTCATGAGAATAATTGGCGGAGACAATGAGGGATTCTAGATCATTGGTAGTAGAGAGTAGAGAGCTGAGAAAAGAGAGATCGAGCGATTCAATGCAGTTGTAATTGCAGCGAAATCTATGGAAACTTGAAGAATTGATTTAAAGAATTGATTTAAACACTAACATCTTCCAGAAACCGATGGAGGTGCCATAAACTTGAAGAATCTACGGCTCGCATTGATATCTGCAAGAGCGGCGACACGGCTTTCTTCAGTAGGATAGCTTGAATTAGGTGGAACACTAACATCTTCACAGAGAGAGAGAGAGAGAGAGTCTAGTTTGGGAAATTTGGCGCGAAAATGAAGCGGTGTTCGGCATTTTAGCTCTGTTTGGTAGAGCTGTGGGAAAGTGCTTATAACTTATGCCTAAACAGCTTATAGCTTATAACTTTCAGCTTAAGCTGATTTCCAGCTTATTCTTAAAGCATCTCCTGCCCCACTCAAAGAATAAGCTGATTTCTGAATTCCACAAAGCTATAAGTTATAAGCTATAAGCTAAACCAAACACATCAAAATAGCTTAAATTAAGCTGAAAGCTGAAATAAGCTGAAAATAATTTCTGCCAAACAGGCACTTTAAGCGAGTTAGTTAGCACCTGTTTGCCAGCAAATTTTGGGATTAAAGCATCGTTTGGCAACAAGTCGATTTAGTTAAAAAGTTATTAAAAAAAAGTCAATAATTCATATTAAAAAGTTAAAGAATTTTTTTTCTATCTACTTTTTACACATCTTTTCATAAAAAGTTAAAAAATCATCCTAAACATACTAATTTTTTTTAAGTCATATTTTAACCAAATAATCAAAAAATTACTAAATTAACATGTTCCCAAACAAGGCTTAAAACATTATTTTAATCCTAAAAAGCTTAAATAAGTTAAAAAAATATAAATGTAATATTTAAATTATAATTATTTGATTTTTTCTCTCATATAAATTTAAAAAGTCAAAAGATTTATCACAAATAAAACTTTTTAATTCTAAATTAAAATAGTTAAAAAGTCAATTCAAATCCTAAACCAACCCTCCAAACACGGTTGGTTTCTATGAGAAGAGTTTATATTAAAGGCTCTGTTTGGATTTTATTTATTTTTTAAAATTAAAATATTTATTTTTGACTAAAAAAGCTAACAATTGAAAAATATATTATAAATTATAAATATATTTTTTAAAATTTGCTTAAAATACAAATTGCCTTTTATAATTTAAAAAATTATAAATATTATTTTGTCCGAATTTTTTATTTAACAGCAATAAGAAAAAATAAAATTTACAACTGCTCTCATATATAATAATAAAATTATATGAATTATTAATTGAAATGAATTTTTAACATTATTTGATTTGATGATTTATTAATAAAATTATAAATTTCAAAGAACGATATGTAATTTTCAAAATCACAAAAAACAATATGTATTTTAAATAAACGTTAGAGGTGTACTTATAATTTATCCAAAAATTAAACTAAGGACCCACACAACTTTTCCAACAACAAAAATATATATATACTATTTTTTTAACATTTATCCAACATATCATCAGTTTTTTTTAGCAAACAAATTTATCTTAAAAACTAAAGAGTAACAAAAATAATGATAAAAATATAATTACCAAATCAACCCTGGTTTGTTTCAATTGAAAATATTTTTCACAAACTTTATTTATTTATTATTGTTATTATTATTATTTTGTATTTGTTTGTATTGCTAAAGCTAATTTGACAATAGTTGTGCTAGTAGTGTGTGGTGATATAAGGGGTAGAGGCTGTTAGGTTCTTTGTGTTGGCAATTTCGCAAACAAACACGTTTGGGGTGTATTGCTGAGCCTTGTTTTGTTCTTAAACTGCTCGAACGGTTTATTATTGTTATAGCAATGCTAGGTATCATGAAAAGTCTTTCATGAAAAATGGTCATGAAAGATTTGTGACTTTTGGATTACACTTACAATAAAGCACCACACACTAATCAAAGTAATCTAAGGATCACAAATTTTTCATGATCATTTTAACGAAAAAAATTTTATGATCCCTAACATTTCTCTTATTGTTAATTGTTTTTTTAGACAAGGTCGGCCCAGAGTATTTTCAATATTTTCTAATTGAGCCAACCTTGTCTCCGCTTGTTGTAGAATGGTAAATTAGGTGTCACACCCCAAGCTTCGTGACAACGCCGCACACTCATTTAAGTGGGCATGCAAGGCTAAGAGTCCAATCACATAACTCATAATGTAAAATACTCAAATTAAATCCTTAATTATCATAATGTTAAAATCCATAAAAATAAATAATTCTTATCATATGAAATTGTCCACCAAGTCCACTAATATAATCCACTAACAAAATAATAATCCAAGTACTTAAATCATAGTCTTACTCTCGGCACTTCCACAAGTAAAAACCCCGCGCAGCTCTACTCCTGGGAATCTAAAAAAATAAAATAAAATAAAGATTAGCTAGACAACCCAGTAAATAACCAACCATCACTGCTAGCTGATTCAAGTATACAAAAAAAAATAGTGAATAACCAATAAATATATTTTCACTACCATTCAATAAATGAACAATTATTTTGTAAGATGGTTTTGTAACTGAAAATAAACAGTGTAGCAATACATTTTAATTGAAAAGACAATGAGGTAATTCGATGAAATTTCGTTGTTCAAAATTGATGGTTCGATATTCAAATGGTTCAATGAGCAATTCACAAAATCCAAGTCTTGGTGACTACGGTCACTTAGCCCGTGACAAGGCCCAGAACCACACATAGGCCGGTGGTAAAGCCCCAAAAGAAACTAGTTTCTGTGCCAATAAATAACCCCCATTGGCTATGGTCCAAATCATAGTCAGACTAGAGTGATGTTCAGAATTCAAACAATACACAACTTTTAAATAAAATATTCTATATTTTCAGAATAAACATTTGGTACAATTTTCCGAATAGTTTCACAAAATATTCAAATAACTTCCATAATAATATTAGATGTTGTTTTATACTTGACCCATATTTTATTTTTAGGAGAATATGAAGGCTATAAATAAATATTTATAATTTCAAACAATTCAATAGGAATAAAAATGAACCAACAGTGATAGAGGGTTACTTACCTTAAACAGCTAAAATAATATTCCCAAACTAATCTCAAATTACCAAGATCCACTTCAATCTCACAAACCTAATAAAATATTACACCGCATAAACAATTATTATGTGCACCCATCCTTCTCTTCTTGTAACAATAATAGAATAAATTAACCCAATAGCCTATTAGGAACTCCCACAATTTAGCATTAAAATAAAGCCATCACGGCTTCGGAAATTCTCAACCCATATTATTCTATTGTTGTTTATATACATGTAAAAATTTGTAATTGCTTGTAGTCAATCTTGTATCCCACAAATACACCACCATTAAACTTAACCTATCACATATTAATCTCAAAATATGAACCACCCAAACGAATGCAAAATGCACTCTAAAATTGAGTGAAATCGGACCCCCAACATAGACTACATCAATATATTTATTTAATCATATATGCCCATAAAATCATCTATTGATATATTAACACTAAAATCATAGATAAGAATACAATAAAATAAATCTTAGCTAAGTGATGAATAAAGCAAAACCACCACTCTTATGAATCCTCCCTCTTCCTTTTGGTTTTGGTTTCTTTTCTTTAAATTTTTTTTTTCAAACCATTGCTGCCTTTCCCTTCGGCAACATCCACGCCTCTCTTTGTTTTTTTGTTTTTGTTTTTTTTTTCCTTCTCCAAGACTAAAAGCCACGGCATGATAGCTTATTTAACCTAATATTTTTCTTTTTCCAAAATTACAAAATTACCCACCTATGTTATAGAAATAATAATGCCATCTCATAATTAATTCCTTAATATTACTAAATGACCCATGTAAATTAATTTAATTACCAATCTATCCAAAAATAATTATATACAAAACTTGGGTTTTACATTAGGACTAGTTCTAAGTGATAGATTGAGGAGATGTTTGGGAATTAAATATAAAAAATCACTACAAGTTAAATTATTCTTTTTATTTTTTTCATGTCTTTTCATGAGAAAGTAAAAAATATATATATATATATATATTAAAAAGGCCAATTCTCAAACAAGTCCTTAATTATTTATAAATTCTCTATAATTTTTGAATGTATCCATAAATTCTAAAATACTTTGTCTCAATATTTTTTGCAAATATTAATAAATGAAAAAAAAAGACTAATAAATAATAAGTCTGACCAATAGAATCGGCTCGTAAATCTTCCCTTGTTAGAATGCCCGAATTAGACGTCCAGTCTGAGTATCAGATTCTCATCACATTGACTTTTTTAAAATTTTTGTTTTTATTTTTTTTTTTAGAAAATTAATTTTTTTAATTTATCCACCTATTTATAAATTTCATATGGATTGTTCTCTCTCTCCATATCATACTTGGATTGGAAGCCATTTCCCTTCTAATTTTGACGATCCTATACAAAAATATCAAACATTTAATTATGCTAATTTAATTTACTAATTCGCTAATATTCTACCGAATATAATAAATCAAAATAAAAATAATTGAACTATAAACTAAATAAACACAAGTTAAGGATTAATTACATTTTTTCTCATTGAATTATCATTCAATATCACTTTATTCCATCAATTAAAAATTTACACATTTTGCTATATTGAATTATAAATTTGAATAAATTCTATGAAGGAACTATTGCATAAATATATATAAAATTTGACATGTTTTATACAAGACATCTCAAATATTATAAAATGAGATTATTATTATTTTTATTCAAGGAAACAACGGTAATAGTCATTGTGTAAACAATTATAATTGTTGACGTGGGTTAGTCAAACGAAGACTTACTTAAAATATAGATTGTCTTTTTATGGTTCTAGAAATTAAAAATATTTTTTTGTATAAATTTTTTATTGAACGTAATTAATAATGTTAATAAAATTATTAACTGATGCAAAGTTGAAAATGTTAATCAGTTGGTAATATGCCAAATGAAAAGCCAAACTTTGTAGATTTGCCAAGCAATTTGCTGAGTCGCGATAGTGCCGAAATGCAATTGTATGGTCTCGAACACTGTAGCGATGCCGAGTAGCCTCGTTGAATTGCTGAACAGCTCCATTGTTCATAAACTTATGATCGGCAAGCCCGTAGTGGCATTTGTGCAAATTTCAACAGGTTGGTAGCTATGTGGCATGACTGTGGCATTGCCGAATAACCAATGTGCTACCAAGGGTGATGGG